GCACGCACACACACACACACACACACACACACACACACACACACACACACACACGCGTGCACAGCTGCTGTGCATAGGCTCGCTCACCGCAGCGTGTTGAGTGTATGTTCACACGACTTGCGCCCTGGGGAGATCATGGCAATCATGCACGTGCGCGCACGCGGGCTGATGAAGCTGTCACGAAGGACCTGTGTCAACTTGCTGGCGCGGAACGGCGTGTGGGCACCGCGACGGCCCAGCGCACGGATGCACTCCTTCAGGGCGAGCAGGCTCTTGTTGATCTCAGCACCCTCCATGCTGTGTGTATGTGTGTGTGTGTGTGTGTGTGTGTGTGTGTGTGTGTGTGTGTGTGTGTGTGTGGAGGCGAAGGAGGAGGGAAAGTAACGTGTCAGTTGTGATGAGAGGACATCAGACAAGTACACACAAACACGGAGCATTTGTCCTCGTCCAACAACACACTCCACCACCACCACACCCCACCACCGGTCTCACCGTGTGCGTCTGTCGGCGGAAGCGGTGTCAGCGCCCCGCTCGTTGCCCGCGAGATCAATGAGCGAAAACTGGCCGTGCATTTTGCGTCGGCCCTGCGGCTCACGCAGGATAATCTGTGCACGCGCATATAGTGAGAGCAGTTGTGGTGTTGAGGACGAGGGTGGAACAGAGGGACAGGGAACGGAACACGTTCGGGCTGTGAATCCACAACCACATCACTGCACACTCAAACATCAATAGCCATCAGCCACCCTCACATCACCACCGCCATCAGTAAACAGCACAACTATCCACCACCACCACCACCACCATGATTAGGGTTGGACCTGGAGCACGGCGTGTGAGCGCGATGATGCCGCGTTGGCCGACGTCGTACCCGTCGCCCGCGCCCGCGATCCAATCGCAAGCAGCTCCTGCACCTGTCCGATCGTCTCAACAACCTGACACATTCACACGTGATGATCACGGTGATGGTTAAACAACCGTTGGGACGGCGCGAGGCAACAGCGCTTTGCTGAACAGGGAACTGAAGTTGTTGTTGGCGGCGCATACTTGCTTTCACACGTTCCCAAAGATCACATCCACAAGTGATGCCGCCACCAGCGCGCGCGTGTGTGTGCGGTGTGAAGATTTTGACAAGAGTGTTGTGTTACCTTCTCGGAGAGGCCGACGACGCGGACCTGGTTCTTGCCGTCCTCAAGCACACGCAGGCGCTTCTGTTTGTTCAGCAGATCGTACACCTGAAGAAAGAGGAGGAGGAGGGGGGGGGGTCGTTCGTGGTGTTGGTGTCGCGCGCGCGTTGGTTGGGATGATCACAAAACAGCCTGCAGGTAATCACATGGAAAAGCACACACCAAACAGCACACACATACACACACATGCACGCACACACGCACACACAACATACCTTTCCGCCGTAGATTTCGAAGAAGGAGACACTAACGGTGAGCTGATCTGCACCGCGCTGTGCATTGAGTGCAAACACGTCCTTTGCTGCCATGGCGTAGATGCCCTCAACACCGCTGCCAAGCCCACCCATCGTGTACGTCTTGCCAGACCCGGTCTGAACAGCCGTGGTGGTCGTGGCGGTGGAGTGATGATGGAGATGAGGTGGTGATGGGTGGTGCGAAGACAAAAGAAAAAGGAGAACAACAACAACAAGAAGCACAATAAAACGTTGCCAAACCTGAATCAAACACACACACGCACACACCTGTCCGTATGCAAAGCAGGTTGCCATGCCGCGGTCGAAGATGGTGCGGACGAGCGGCGCTGCCGTGTATTTGTACACGATGGCGTTATCGCACGCCTCGTCAAACGAATAGTCAAACCGGAACTGGTTGAAGGGAGGTGGGTGAAGTCGAGGGTGTGAGGGGTGGTGGTGAGCATGCGAGAAAAAAAAAAGAAGCGATTGACGGGGTGAATTGCTACTACATACGCCAGCAAGCAAACAAGCACGCGCGCACCAACAAGGAAACAAGCACACGCACACATGAACGCACACGGCAACAGCAACACGCGCGCGCACCTCGTGGTTCTCGATGTATTTGGTGAGATCCACCTTCTCCTTGGGCTCGTGCACGACCGTGAGCTGTCCATCCGGTGCAGTGATGCAGTCAATCTCGTTGTTGTTGTTCTCCTTCTTTCCGAGCGGTCGCTTGCGCACACACACCGTGATCTTGTCCGTGTACACGGCCTGCGCTGTCGAGAAGGGCCGCGGGTTGAACCGAGCACGGCACTCGTCAATCATCTGCGCAACCTTGCGGTCCGCCTTGGACAGGTCTGACGGCGGGAGTGGGAGTGGTGACGTATGAGATGGTGCATGGTGTTGCGTATGCGTTGTTTTGTGAGCATGTGTAAGGGGCAGCGTGTGTATGTGTATTTAAGAGCGTGCGTGGGTATGTGAGAGTGTGCGTGGGTATGTGAGAGCGTGCGTGGGTATTTGAGAGTGTGTATGTGAGAGAGTGTGTGTGTGTGAGCGTGCGTGATGACAGCCGGCACATGTGCTGCTGATGATAGTCACAGACATGAACAGCGCTTGTCTCAATCCCAACCGTCACCCCCCTCCCTCCTCCAACGTACTGCTGTGATCGCGCTCCTTTACACTGAAGGGCGCAGCGGGCTGCTGCTGAACAGAGGACGACTGCGTTCACAAACACGACAGATGGCAATGTGACGGCGAGAATGAGGTATCAGCGCAGGCACGCACATCGCGAGCAGTGTCGAGCAGCAGCTGCACTGCCACTGCGAGCGGTGCTTTGTGAATGTGAATACAGGATACGCACACACACACACACACACACACACACACAAGCACACAATACCTTGATGTTGGTTTGTCGGCGACCGCCCATGGCTGAGGACGGTTTCTTGGGGGAGGCGGGGCGTTGGGACGCCGGCGAGTTGTGTGAGGAAGGGTTGAGTGGCTTCTTCGAGCTTGCGCTGATGCTTTGGGGTTGTTGTTTCTGCTGCTGCTGTTGCTGCGGCGTCTTGCGCTGAAGTTTGTTGATGCGAACCAGCGTGTTGAAGTCAATCTCCTTGCCTTTGGTCTCGTTGTTCTCCACCCACTGCACAGACACCGTCTTGGTGTCGGCATTGCAGCTGCTGATCACAGCGCCATGGACGCGGCCTAGCATTGCGTGTGTGTGTGTGTGTGTGTGTGGAGGGGGGGGGGGAGGGAAGAAGGTGGATAAGGGGATGGCTATCGATGCGTCCCAACAGCACCGCACATGCACGTACGTTCAGATCTCAACACACACACGCACGCACACACACACACACACACATAGACACAAACACACACACACACACACACACACACACACACATGCGCGGGTTCACATACCATCGCTGCGCTGGATGTCAACCTTGGAGCCAAGCTCCAGTCCATACTCTTCCAACATGCTTCTTGCTTGCTTCACCTCTCCTCCTCGCTTGCTTGTTGTCGCTGTTCGTCTTCGTCGTCGCCAAAGCCGTTTTTTTTCCCTTCCTTCCTTCGTTTCTTCGCTGCGCTTTCGCCGTGAAATTTTGGCTTGAGGAAAAATGGCCGAAGTTGTTCACAATTCCTCCAACCCAGCCACAACCCAGGTGCGACATCATAAAAACCAGAATCGCTGAGTCATCCCTCTGCTGGTTGTTTTGCGCGCTGTCTTTTCTCGCTTGCTGCGGCGGTGCGACTGACACCCCCATTTTGCTCTCCCAGCTTCCTGTGGACACCTTGTGTTGTCTTGTGTCCTGCGGAGAGAAGAAGAGCACGGCAATAGAGGTGAGTCAAAGGGCGTGCGCGTGTGTGTGTGTGTCACACTGGGGCTGACTGCGATGGCGGCGGCGGGGGTATGTTATGCCATGGCGCAGCCGCTGCACTTACTCACGAACCCTTTGTTGTTGTGCTTCTCTCTTCTGTGGTGGCGATCGCTTGCCTGTAGCTGCTTGTGCGGACAGCACTTTCCTTGCTTTAATTTGTTCCTTTGTTTGTATTGGTTCTGTTGTGTGTTTTGAAGACGCACCAGCACACCTGTCCTGATCACGGGTGATAGGCAAGACCGGGCACCATGGGTGATTCGGACAAACCCGTTGCCCAACCACAGCAACAGCAGCAACAGCAGCATGATGATGATGGCGCTGCACCACCGTCGTTGGCACCCTCTTCGGGGCCAAACACACCGACACCATCGACGCAATCGACGCCAACATCAACATCAACACCAACCACCACCACCGACGCCACGCCGCCGTCGTCCTTGTCCTCGTCAACATCCACGGGGACAATGTCCACAAGTTCGTCGTCTGCGGGCGTGACATCGCACCAGCAGACGGGTGACAAGAAGAAGACACCGCCGCCCGTGAAACCGAAGCGCCGGCAGCCGCCAGTCCCTGCACAGAGGCCACGGCCAAAGGCAGGCGCACAGGGCCCCGCTGTCGCGCATGAGGAAGGAGACGCGGACGCAGACACATCAGCGCAGCGGGCAAGGAAGCAGAAGCCGCCAACGCCGCCGCGCAAGGCAAAGCACAGCGACCCAAACCCACAGCAGCAGCAACAGCAGCCGGACAGCAGCGTGGGCGAAAAGCAGACAGCAAAGACGCAACCGCCACCTCCTCCGGTGAAGTCCAAACCGAAGAAGGAAGCAGATGTGGGTGCGACCGTGCACGAGGGCGCTGTCACGCAGCAACAGCAGCCGCAACAGCAGCCGCAACAGCAGCAACAACAGCCACAGCAGCCGCAGACGAAGCCCGCACCAGCTCCAAAGCCCGCGCCGGCTGCAAAGCCGACACCAACCGCGAGCAAGGGCGAGTCTGCTGAGTCAGCAGCTCCCACCCCTCCGCCACGGCCAACAAAGCACACGCCAGAGAAGACGAAGGTGACAGGTACAGGTGACTCAGCAACACAAGAACCACCACAACCGCCAACGGCACCAAACGATGTGTCATCCAAGTCAGTTGATGATGATGATGATGACACGACACAGCCCAAGGGCGATGGCGATGGTGGAGACCTGCAGGGCACCGCTTCTGATTGTGCTGCACATGACGGTGATGAGAGCCAAGAGCACCAGCAACAGCAGACGAAGGATGGTGACCCGAAGCCACAGCAACAACCACAACCGCCACAACAGCCATCACCACAGCCGCCACAACAGCAATCACCACAGCAGCCACAACAACACCCACATCAACAGCCACCCCAGCAGCAAGAGCACCCCACCCCACCATCGGCCTCCAAGAAAGCGAAAGCGGAAGCCAGACGCGCGCGAAAGGAAGCACAGCGGCTGCAGCTGCTCGAGATGCAGCGGCAGATGGCAGAGCTGCAGAAGCAGTTGGCTGAGACCAGCGGCAGTGATGATGATGATGATGACGATGATGATTACGATGATGTTAGTGTTGGGGTCGGTCATCAACAAGGCCCAATGTCCGATCAGCCATTGCCGCCTTCCACGACTCAAGCAGCACCATCGAGTCAGCCGCAACCCATCGCAGCATCTGCATCCAACAGCGGTGGCGGCTTCCATCGCGACGCTGAGCCAACAGATGGGACGGCAACAGTTGTGGTCGACGACGATGATGATGATGATGACGCTGATGAGATTGACGCGGGTGCCACAGTAGCTGGTGAGAACATGGCAGTTGCCGACAAGCCTGTGCACGCCGACGTTAAACACAATCATCACCACCACCACGAAGGCAACGCCGCCGATGCCAGCAACGGTGGCGTTGACATTGACGTGGCAGATACCACCGCCGTCACGGCATCTTACGATGAGTATCAGGACCACGAAGAGTACGACAATGACGAAGACGATGAAGATGATGGGTTTGGGTTCAAGACGCCACCAAACACGCTGAAGGAGGATGGCGAGGGTCAAGCATCGGCATCCACAGCGAAGACAGATACACCGCCCAAGCTGGCCGACGCAGCCAGTGCTGCCAGCGCGATGGCAACTTCCAAACCAACACCAACGCACGTGCCCGGCAGCAAGGCCTCAGCACAACCGCTCGAACATCCTTTGGGTGACGGGTACAGCTCGCACCAGGAAGCCACCACCCAACAACAGCAACCGCAGCAGCAGCAGCAGCACCAACCACAACGACAGCAACAACAAAACCCGCAGCAGCAGCACTCCAACTCACATCAGCAGAATCAGCCCCATCATCCATCACCGCAATCATCGTCATCAACGCCCCACGTGCCTGGCAGTAAGGCAACAGCGCCGCCAGGATCATCACCGTCGTCATCACAGCACCAAACGCAGTCGTCTGCCATGACCAAGTTTCCCACCAACCCTTCAGCTGCTGCAACCACGACATACCACCAACACGACACAGCAGGTGCGAGTGTGTGCGTGTGTGTGCGTGGGTGTGGTATACGCTTGTATGGAGTATGTTGTTGCGTTTCTGAGGTTGTCGTCACTTGAACTTGCGTTCCTCCCATTCATCCAATCTTCAATTGTGCGCCCCGTACGAATTCAACAGCTGGCCCTCCCGTTGCCGATGCGGTGAAGCAACAGCTGAAACCAATGCGCGACGTCAAAGTCGTACGTTGAAGAACACACCTCTACAACATGCAACACACAACACACACACATAGGCACACACACACACACACAAAGCACACACACACACACACACACACACAAAAGCACACACACACACACACACACACACACAAAAGCACACACACACACACACACACACACACACACACACACACACACACACACACACACACACACACACAAAAGCACACACACACACACACACAGGCACACACACACAAACACCCCCTCTCTTCCAAATGTACATCACCCACGCATTCCGCTGTCCTCACATGCTGCTTCCTGTGACGTCATCGCTTCTGTTGCGCAGCACGTGCACGTGATGGAGGCGCCCGGACAAATCATCCACATGCTCGGGAGCCACCCGGTGTTTGGCCGACTTGACGACGAAGATGGCAAGGAGGAGTGGATGCCAAACGCCGAAACACGGCTGCCAGAGCAACATGACGACGACGACAATGATGCCGATGATGGTATTGCTGATGATGATGATGACGATGATGATGATGGTGAGGAGTTTCACGATGCAAGGTCGAGCCCGCGGTTTGGTGGCTGGTCCAGACCAAAGCAACAGGGGAAGAAGGGGAACAGCAAGAGCAAGGGCAAGGACAAGGGCAAGGGAAAGAAGAAAGGAAAGAAGAAGGGCAAGAAGAAGCAAGGGGAGCGTGGCACCAAGGATCGCGCTTACCGCTACTCAGCCAGTGGTGGCAGCAGGAGCTCGCGTGACCGCTACTACACCAAAACCTTCACGGTGTCTGTGCGCGGGCCCACGACCATCCTGTACAAGCTCGCCAAGTACTTTGAGGACGACGGCGTGTGGTCAAACGTGTACCGTCGCATTCGAGGCAAGGGATCACTCGAGTGGCAGCGTGGCCGTAACCGTGAGCTCGCCATCAAGGATGACAAGACCACGCACGTGCACGTGTTCAGCGACTTTGCGACAGACAACCACCACCTCCGTGCAAAGGCGATTCGATTCTTCATCCAGCGGTTTCTGCGCCGCGACAGCAACGACGGTGCGCTGCGTGCCCTGCTCAACATAATGCCGATGCACGAGGTCATGGATAACGTGTTGAGCAACGCCCCGTTTATGGACTCCCTGACGGGGCACCAGGTGCTTCATCTTCTCATGGCCGTTGGCGTCACCAGCGTTGTTGGCGAGCTGCAGTCACGGCAGTGTCGCCCCAGCACGCGAGTCCTGATCCAGAGCGCGCTCGTGTCTGATCCCAACACGATTCAACTCTTCTCCGCCAGCAACCCCAACCTGCTGCGAAACCACCTTCAGCTGCTGGCTGCCCTCATCAACACGAGTACCAACAGCACTTACTCCTACGACAGGGACGCCGGATACAACGACCCATGCTTCATCATCCTCGTTCTGGGGCTCACTCCAAACTTTGAGGCAGAGAAGATCGAGCACAGGGCCGAGCTGCCCACCACCAACAGCAGCAGCAACACCAATTCACACCACTCCTACAGTCCCTACCACACTCACGCCGGATACAACGACCCATGCTTCATCATCCTCGTTCTGGGGCTCACTCCAAACTTTGAGGCAGAGAAGATCGAGCACAGGGCCGAGCTGCCCACCACCAACAGCAGCAGCAACACCAATTCACACCACTCCTACAGTCCCTACCACACTCACCATCACCACCATCACAGCCGCGCGCCAATCGAGTACAGCGAGGACGACATCTTGGATGCCGCTGATTTCGTGCAGCAGTACCACGAGACGATCCACACTGGCGGCAAAGGCGCCAACAAGAAGAAGCGGGCTGCGGGCACATCGGGCGCCTACCTCAAGTACATGTCCACGCTGCCACAGGCACCCGGCGGGCAAGGTGCTGAGCGAACACGACCCCGGCAAGTTTGGCAGGGTGGTGCGCACTGCCCTCACCAACACTGGCGGCAAAGGCGCCAACAAGAAGAAGCGGGCTGCGGGCACATCGGGCGCCTACCTCAAGTACATGTCCACGCTGCCACAGGCGCAGGAGCACATCTTCGACGTGTGGCTGAGCCAGCTGCCATCGATTGGCAACGATACAGACCACCCGCTCGCCACGGGTGCGACGAAGCTGGCAACGTCGGCGCAACTCACATCTGACCAGCGCGGGCGGCTCATGCAGATGCTCATGAACAACGCCAGCAGCAAAATCTGCCGCGACATGCTGGACAGCCTCCTCACCACCATCCCTGAAGGCATCACCCAGATAAAGGCATACACGAGCATGTGGAGCGTGGTGTCGCCAGCAGAGGTGGAGGCAGGCATGCGCACCTGGCTGAAGGAAGAAGCAACCGAGACGCGAACCATGACTGTGGATGGCCCTGACGCTGGCACCACTGGTGCATCGTCGTCATCATCGCGCGGCCCACGCACGTACGCGTCTGCGACTTCCCATGGATACCATTTGCGCTCGGGCAGCAGCCGTTACGCCGGCGGCTCCTACGGTTACCAGCACCACCAGTATCAGCACCACCAGCAGTATCAGCAGCCACGCACCAAGACGGTGAAGGAGCTGAGTGTGTGCTCACTCATCCGCTTCGCCACCACCATCGAAGACAGATTGCAGCAACAACTCGGTGTGATCAGCAGCATGCCAGCTGGCAGGGCGGCTGAGGTGGCAGCACGCATGCACAAGTTCAAGCCCATTTACCTGCTCGCCGGCGACTGTGTCGAAGAGAGCAACGTGCCCCTCGTCGCCTTCTTCCAGCAGCTGATTGCCGCGTCGAGCGGCGACGGCGTTGTCTTGACTGTGGAGCAAACGACACCAAACCACCTTTTCGGTCTCGCTGCTGACCGCGCTGTTGCGCTCGCCCGGAAGCATCGCCAGGCCGGCGATAAGGACCTGTGTGCCCTCCTCAAGACCCTGCTCACAGCAACACACCCGGGCAGCAGCAACCACAACATGTTCCGCCGCGTTGGCGTGGACATGTTGTCAGAGCTCACCACCCCGCAAACCCTCACCGACGTTGCTACCCGCCCCGCGCTGTGGCGGCTGGTGCTCACCTCGCCCTCGCCATACGAGTGGCAGCAGACGCAGCCGGCGGTGGCGGCACGACAGATCCTGGCCCACGAATACGAGGCGTGGCGTGACCTCGCCAAGACGCCAGCGGACATTGCACAGTTGTTTCCACCAAACCAGGAGCCAGGCGCGCTGCGTGACAACAGGGCGACACTCGCCAATCTCATGGGCATCGTGTCGCCCAAAGGCGTGCAGGAACCGTACATGCTGATTGATGAGGCGCTGAGGGCACGTGATCGCCTTGCCGGGGAGAGCATGACGGTGGAGAGTTTGCACCGCTACCTGTCGGATGTGCTGCCGACCAATACGTGGGTGGCCAGCCTACCACAGACGCTTGACACGTGGCAGACACGCCCGCTCAGCCAAGTCAGCGACAACCATCGCTGGAACGGGGCGCTTGCTGTTGCCGACAACGGCCTCCTCCACGCCATCCACCAGCGTGCAATGAGCTACACCTTCCGTGCCTTTGTCAACAAGCAGCTGCACACTAACACAGACACGGGTGTTGTAACAACAACGGCAGCAGCAGCAACAACAGCAGCATCGAGTGGTGCTGAGGGCAACGCCGACGGCGAAGGGGATGGCGACAACAACACCAATGACGCCGACAACGACGCTGACGCTGACGATGATGATGACGATGGGATCATGTTTCCGCTGTTTGATGACGACGACGACGATGACGATGCTGATGAGGGTGGACCTGCCATCGCTGCAACGGCACCACCGCCATCACGGGAGGCCGTCATGGCGCAGGCAAAGAAGGAGGTGGAGGAGACACTGGTGAAGACAACGGACCTGCTGGCGGAGCACGCGCGACTGTTCAGCCAACTCAGCTCCAACACACCGCTGTCTGATCTTCACGTCATGTGGGGAGGGCTCACGCGCGCACAGGTGGAACACGACATGACGCTGCTGTGTACAGTGCTGACTCATCCCATGAACGCTGGCACAACGTGGCACGTGCAGGAACTGGTGAATCAGCTCTCCAGCTATGTTGATCGGCGCCACTATGCACAGCGCGCAGAGCAGCTTGGCCGTGTGCTGCAGGTGTGCCAGGACCTGCTGCAGCACCAGAGCTCCGATCTCACCGATGCCATCGACGCGGTGCTGGCTGTGGACGACTCGCAGACACTCTGCCACCTGCACACGGCTGTGCAGGACGTGCAGTCACATGTCCCTGACGACCCGGACGTGTGGGAGGTACTTGGCGAGATGGCCGACGCAGGCAACTTGCTCGAGTTCCTGCGAGAACAGGATGGTGACGTGCGCCACTACACGGCGAGCGCGGAGGCGTTTGGTTCCGACGCATACATGGCCACAGCCGAGCAGGTCAACGCCTTCATTTTGCTGCACTCGTTTATGTTCCCGCTCATCAACGCTGACACAAAGGCGAAGGACCTGGAGGACTTTCTTCGTCTTCTCAGCCAGCGCTTTCACCAGAGCCAGGGCCATGCTGCATCCTCCTCGGGAGCAACATCAGGTTCGGCGTCGTCGTCAGCGTCATCGGCACGTCAGCCAGACCGCCTACCGCTGTCGCAACTGCTGCGCATCTGCAACCAAGGTCTTGAGGCGCTGCAGCTGTTTGTGAACACGCTGAGCGACCGCGGTGCCGCTGCCCGCGAACGCATTCGCCTCGTTGTTGATCCCTCCGTCGAAGGCGCACGCATCGTGTTCAGGTGCGACTCGCTCCGCCAGACGGCCAGTTACCACATCTGCATCCGTCACAGGAGCGAGGACATTGAGTTGTCGGAGCGCGACGTGAGCGACCTGCGTGCGCGCGCGTGTCTGCTGTCCACAGACCAGGACCAGGACGTGCGGGTGCACATGCAGCGGTTCAGGGACTTGGTGGAAGGCGTCGAGTTGGCCATGGCAGAGCTGAAGCAGCTGGCGGAGAGCGGACACCTTGAAGAGTTCAACTGCTACACGCACGCAATGGCGGTGCAGGGCGCCAACCTGAAGGACTACACGGGCGCGCTGCAGACCCACCTCCTGCTGTGGACGGAGCGCTTGAAGGAAATGCGCGAGCGCTATGACGTGCTCAACATCTTTTCCAACCGCCAGCTGGTGGTGCTGTTCCATGCACTCGTGCAACCCCACGAGCACCACGATGAGGAGCTGGTGCAGGAGCGAGACCAGCTGCTGCTGGCCATGCTCGGTCCCCACGCCGACGTGCACCAGGTGTCGCTGTTTGTGCACGATGTGCTCAACAGCATGGGTGCATGCGATGACAACGTGCACCGGCTGAGCGAGCTGCTGGCGATGCTCAAGTCGCTCATCGATGCGCCGCCACCACGCGCCCTTCACCCCTCTGGAATGATTGACGAGAGCATGCTGCCGCCGTTCCGCCACGCTGCCAGGCACGATCTTGTGCGGGTGCTGCTGTCTGAGGACGATCGCACGACCGCCGCCTCCATCCTGGCCGCATTCACGGACGCCAACCTGGAGTACCTGCCTGCGCAGTGCCTCTTCTGCTCCGAGCACACGCGCGTGGCGATTGTGCGGCTGTTCCTTGCCCGCAGCCAGGAGACAACAGACCTGCCGTTTGTGCTCGTGTATCCGGAGCTGCTCAGCATTGAAGCGCAGGCGGAGTTGAAGGAGGAGTTGACCAAGTGGGGCCACCGCTGCTCTAACCCTCGCTCCTCAAAGCCATTCGCACCCGCTGTTGGCGAGCACGTGCCGGAGTCAAGCCGCCCGCTGCCACGCTTCACCGTCGTGTGTCGCCGCACCACGCGCAGTCGCCTCCTGCACGGCGTTGCAGGGCTGGTGGACGAGGACTTGACGGGGCACGTGGCGCAACAGCTGCTGGCCAACTACGCGCTGCACACGAGGGAGCACGGTGCTGTCACCGTTGTGGCCAGCGAGTACGCGCAGCAGGGCAAATCCACCTTCATCCAGCACCACCTCGCACGCCTTGCTGGTGGCAGCAACAGTGCTGGTGATGGTGATGGTGATGGTGATGGCGACAGTGGACGTGGCAGTGGCCGTGTTGGGCGACGCGGGCCGCTTCGCTCGTCCATGCTCTCACGCACGTCGCAAGCTACCACCGCAACCACCGCCACGACGAAAACGGGTGGCAGTGGCGCTGATGGCGGGGACGACCTTGTGGATGACGATGAAGGGGATGGCGACGCATCACCGACGCTCTTCTCATCCGATGACGATGGTGAAGACGATGAGTTTTTGGACGCGTCGTTTGAGTTCCCCGTGCCACCGAGTGGGCCCGTGCCTGCAGGCATGGCGACAACAGCAACACTCCCGCGTGACGCTGTTGCTGGCGATGGCGGGCACTACTGCACGCTGCTCGTCTCTGGGCAGGACACGTTTGACGTCCTGCACGACAAGCTGTCTCGCCTGCCGCTGATGGACCCGCGCGTCAAGGCACTGTACATTGACGTCGGGGCGGCACTGAACATTGAGGACGACCTCAACATGCATCTGTTCCAGCTGCTGGTGCTGCGCTGCCTCTCGCGCGACGACAGGCTGTGGCACGTGCCACGCCACGTCGCGGTGTACGTTGAGATTGGCAACACGCTGCACGACCGCTTGAGCCAGCAGCTCGCGCTCACCACCAAGGCGCCGTTTGCCGATGAAGTGGCGGCATCCACCACACAGGCTGCGCCTGCACAGACGGGCGCGCCCACCGCCTCTTTTACCAAGGAAGTGCTTGGGTGGGACGCAAACAACATTCACGTGCCAACGGATACAAGCTCCCCCATCCAGCGTGCTTGTCGCTACCTCGACCTCCTGCACAGGGACCAGCTCACGGACGTGGTGTACAGGGAACCTGATCTGAACGCCATGGATGGCATTGAGCCGACACCACTGAGCAAGGGAGACTGCATTCGCCTCCTGACGCAATACTTCCCGCGCCTGCAAGCGAACCACGCCTCCTTTGGCGAACTCAACACGTTCCTCCTCGTCGCCGCCCAGCAGCTGCCGCGCATGTTCACCAGCTCGTTCCTCACCGCCAACACGCTGCAAAACTTCATGGAGTTGGCTGAGGAGCGCGCACAGGAGATTCGACGCGGCGTGCTGACGGCGGTGGTGAAGACGGCTCAGCGGTTCGCCGTGCCCTCCGTTGACGCCGTGAGAGACGCGCAGCACCACCACCAGGACGCGGCAGGGACGGTCACCGATGCCATGCTGCGGCAGATGGAGAGAGCCATCACGTGGACGGAGATGGAGCACTGGATGCTGTGCGCTGCCAACGACGGGTGCGCATGCCCCTTCTACTCGGACCCAAACAGTGTCCCGCCACAGGTGCGGAAGTTCTTTGAGGTGCAGGGCGCGCCGCTCAAGCCAATGGACGCACACTCGTCGGAAGAGCTGTTTGTGCGCATCAAGCAGCTGTTGGGCCACAACAAAAACACAGAGCAGGGCCAGTACGCCATGACACCAGACAACCTGCTGAAGATGGTGCTGATCTACATCCGCATCACCAACAACGTGCCGTGCATTCTCATGGGCCACGCAGGCTGCGGTAAGACGTCCCTCTTCAAGCAGCTGGCACACATGTGCAGCGACGTGGTTTACGAACGGCCACTTGGCATTCACGCAGGCACCACGGCGCAGGACATTATCGATTACGTCAACGCAGCCGTGGATCTGGGGGAGAGCTTGCTGCAGGACACCGGGTACGCTGATGTGACGGTGGTGCCCCAGGCTGGTGATGGTGCTGGTACACAGGGGCAAACTGACGACCAGGCAGCCACGTTGGCCACAGGAGAGCAAGATGGTGATGCTGACCCCAATGCTCCCGGCTCTGCATCGACTTCGTCAACGGCAACAACCCCTGCAGCAGCGCCGTCAGCGGTGGCCATTGCGCCACAGCGCAACAACGTCACGGTGTGGGTCTTCCTTGACGAAATCAACACGTGCGAGCACCTCGACCTGCTGTCGGACATCATTGTGCGCCGACGCTGCGGCTCCCGCTCCATCCCGGACAACGTCAAGATTGCGGCTGCGTGCAACCCGTACAAGCGCCGTGACCGCCCAGCGCCAACACCAGGGCTGGTCACCACGGAGCGCCAGCCCATTGACGCGCAGTCGCACCTCATGTACCGCGTGCACCCGCTGCCGGAGGCGATGCTGCCGTACGTGTGGGACTTTGGCGAGCTGTCTGCTGGCGACGAGCGGCTGTACATGGGCAGCATGGTGGACGGCCTTGGGCTGGACCAGGACGAGAAGAACGCCGTGGTGGAGATGCTGTATCAGTGCCACGACTACCTGAGGAAGAAGACAGATCACATGATCAGCTTGCGTGACGTCAAGCGTTTCTGCACGCTGTTCAAGTTCTTCAAGAAGTGGCGGCAGCAGCGAGCAACCCTCCCCCGGACGAGGCCACGAGAGCGCAAAACGATCCTCAGAGGCCTGTCTGAGAACATGCACGCCGCGTGGCTGTCGCTCAGCCAGTGCTACATGGTGCGTCTCCCTGAAGACAACAAGCGCAACGAATTGCTTGACCAGTGCATTGCACACGTTGGTGCACGTCACAAGCGAGGCCGCGATGGCCTTTCACAGCTCATTCGCGAGGAGCAGCTGGACATGGTGGATCGCATGGACAGGCGGGCGCCGCAGTTCCAGAATTTAGCGGAGAACGCGGCCTTGTTGGAGAACACGTTTTCCATTGTCGTGTCGCTGCTCAACCGCATCCCCATCTTCCTGATTGGCAAGCCGGGCAACAGCAAGACGGTGAGCATGAGCCTGGTCAACAACAGTCTCCGTGGCCGCGACTCGCGCGACCCGCTGCTCAAGCTGTACCCGGGCATCACCGTGTTTGCGTACCAAGGCAGCGTCGAGGCGACGAGCGAGGGCATCCTGCAGGTGTTTGCTCGTGCGGAAGCGTACCTGGACAGCGCCAACCACCAAGATGTGCTGCCCGTGGTGGTGCTGGATGAGGTTGGACTGGCCGAGTACTCGCGCCACAACCCGCTCAAGGTGCTGCACGCCAAACTTGAGCCGCCAGACGGCAGCGAGCTCCGTGTTGGCGTCGTCGGCATCTCCAACTGGGCGCTCGATGCGGCGAAGATGAACCGCGCACTGCACATCTCCCGACCGGAGCCGTCGCGGAAGGATCTTTGCAAGACCGCAATGACGATTGCCAAGAGCTTCATTGCCAAGGAGCAAAACGTCACCAACGTGGGCGATGTGTGGAATCATAACTTGCCTCTTCCCCTGCAAACGGTGCTCAAGGGTGTGGCATATGGCTACAACGCCTACATGAGGCAGTGCAAGGCCGAGAACCGCCAGCCCTTCTTTGGCCTCCGCGATTTCTACAGCGTCTGCAAGACTGTGTGCCGCAGGATGGACGAGCTGAACGCGAGCGAGGGCGTGGTGGCGACAGCCATCATCCGCAACTTCTCCGGCACGCTCGGAGGCGACACCGCCCACAGCGACCGGCAGCTCTTCTTCACGCTCGTGCAGCAGCAGCTGCAGCAAGTGGGGTGGTACCACGCTGATCGCTTGGCTGTCGCGCTGATGAATGCGAGCCACAGCACCGTGGCATGCATTGAGGACAACTGGCAGGACGTGTTTGCGCGCCACCTGATGATCGGGTCTGTTGGTCGCGCGGCGCTGTCCATCTTGGACACGAGCAACGCCCTCATTATCCGCGGCAGCCAGTTTGAGGCGGACGTGGTGAGCGAGGAGTACCCATACTCTGTGCTGAGCCAGATCATTCTGAAGATGGAACACGGTGGCGTGCTGGTGCTGGTCGACCTTGATTCCATCTACGGTAGCCTGTACGACATGCTGAACCAGAGCTACACCATGATCAAGGGCCGGCGCAACTGCACCATAGCCCTGGGCTCCCTCAGCAACCCGCTGTGCCCCGTGCACGAGCGGTTCCGCTGCGTCGTGCTGATGGATCGGGAGAAGATGCAGACGTACGACCCGCCCTTCCTCAACCGCTTTGAGAAGCACCTGCTCAGCTTCACAGACGTGTTGTCGGAGGACCAGCGGGATGTGTGCGCGCAGGTGGAGAACTGGCTCACACGCATCGTTGCGCGTGGACAGGACACGTCCGCCGTGACGCCACAGGACAAGGCGAGGGCCATCCCGTGCTACAGCGACAACATGGTGCCAAGCCTGCTGCTCAAGCACCTGGCGAGCATGCAGGCCGCCATGGGATCGGGTGGGACCAATCTGGCTGGCATTGGCGGCGGTGGCAGAGGCAGCAGCACATCAGCTGTTGCCGCCACACCAACGGCGCCAAGTGCACCAGGAGAAGCCACCAGTGCGTGGCAGTCTCAGGAGCCTGGTGACGAGAGCTGGCAGGAACTGCTGCAACACCAAGAGGAAGAATTGAAGGCACACGTGCCACCAAGCTATCTCCAACAGCAACAGCAACAGCAACAGCAACAGCAGCAACAACCTGCCGGTGGTGCGACGGGAAGCCGGTTCCTGCGCGCATCGCAATGGCACCTGACCCCCGACCTGGCACAGCAGCTGCAGCAGCGCATCAAGCACAGCTTGATTGATCTAATGACGCTTGAGTTTGTGGTGTCCCTCACGCAGTTTTCGGACGAGGACAAGCAGCGCGTGGTCGACGTGTACATGCATGAATCGTCGCACCACTCCCTCACGGGCCTGTTGGAGTGGCTGCAGTGGTTTGGTGCTCCGTCAGGGGATGGTGATGGTGGTGGTGGTGACGAACAACAAGGGGCCAGTGTGCGCAAGGGCGATTATGGCGATTATGGCGATGGTGGTGGTTATGATGGCGATGGTGGTGCTGGTGGTCATGATGATGACGACGCCGCCACTGATGAAGGTGCCGCTGAAGACGATGACGATGAGATGCTGGAGAAACCAAGCAAAGCGAAGAAGGCACGTCAGCAGCCGCTGCCGGCCCAGCCGCTGCGCCGCCTGTTGCTGGTGACGCGCACCAGCATCTTCTATCCCTTCAGGGAGGTGTCGGAGTGTGAGATTGTGCGTGTGTCCGACATCAAGTCTGAGCGCATGTTGTCGCTTGAGCTGCGAGAAGCACTGCGCCGCGCCGGCCGCCACGGTACGGTTGTGGTGCAGCTGCTGCTCAACGAGTTCAAGCACCTGGCCATGGTGCAGGAGAAGGTGGACGGCCTGCTGGCTGGCATTGACCGGGAGACGCGCGGCGATGCTGGTCTCAACGGTGAGCACACACATGGTGGCCAGGGGTGCAGCCGCGTGATTGTGTGCGTGCACATGCACTCCAAGACGACGAGCCTCCGCAAGCAAGCGCAGGAAGTGGCCATGCTGCAGACCATCACCGCGTCTGCGGAGTGGGAGCTGCGCTACTGCGACGATCTCGGCTCGCTGCCCTCCTTTGCTGCACAAGCCCTGCAGCAGGAGCAGCATACGCAGCACGTGAGCGGTGGCGGTGATGATGTTGGCGGTGCGGCGATGCATGTGCCAGCTGGGCCATCGGCGCCACCTGTTGTTGAGCCGACCCTCAACCTGATTGAGCTGTGCTCGCACTCTCTGCAGGACGTGGTGCTGCGCCACGATCATTCGCTGCTGCACTACCGGCGCCTGATCACCCCAGACGCGCTGTGGTGGTGCTACTCGCGCATCGACTTCTCGCGCGTGCCGCACTGCCAGCAGCGTGCGCGGTCCTCAATCGACCGGCTGCTGGCCGCGCTCACGTCCCAAGACCAGGAGGGCGAGCAGCTGTGCATGATTTTGGCGCACGCGGCGGCGCTGATGCTGGATTCCACCACGACGTGGGTTGCACAGCTGGCGCAGCAGGACATGAAGCAGCCAAGCTACGCCACGTTTGGGCAGCGTGTGGTGCGCACGGCGCGTGAGGCATTCCTGTCTGCGCTCGCACGCATCATCTTCAGCATGGAGCAGCACCACTTTGTGCCCGATGTGAGGCAGCTTGTGCCTGACGACGCCACGCGCGCGCTGCTTGCTCAGCTCGAGATTTCCCCGCGGGCGTACGCCGTGCTCGCACTCGATGCACTGCCGTCCACGGCGCGCGCATTTGCCGCCAGCACTGCGCAGCACGAGCTGCCAGTTGTTGGCGACGAGGGCGACGCGGATGACATTTCGCCTGCAACCACAAGTGTGCTGCGTCCCGTGTCACTGCGGCTCCCAGAAACGCATCGCTGGTACAACAGCCTGTGTGCGCTGGCAGAGGCGCTATTTGCCGAGATGGACGCGGCGCCCACGGAGCAGACGCGTGCCAGCCACGTGCAGGGGTTCATCGCACGCGTGCGTGACGCCTTTTCGCACGCCATGGCGGCCGGTGTGAGCACCGACGACGTCACTCTTGACATCATGGACACACAGGACGATGATGATGGCGACATGGACGACGTGAACGACATGGACGAGCGCGAGGACGATGATGATGATGACGATGATGACGATGATGTGGACGAGTTGGATG